CGCTGAGGGGGAGTAGCAGCAATTACAACATTAAGTGGACCATTCAAATCTTTAACCATGCGTCCACCGACAACAGTGTTTAGCTTTAGCCGATTTTTAAACTCAGCCGAACGAAAAGAATTATAAATCTATAATCGCATCTCATCAAATACAATCTCCTCTGTATCCAGCGACTCGCACCATTGAGTTCAACATTCATATGAAATAGTACATTATCCACTCCGAACCACACGACACCCCATAAATAATTTTGTATCCCAACATGTGGTCGATAATAAGATCACAAAACATAATATACCAAAAAATAATAATTTGACAAAGAAAAAATTGCAGAAAAAAATACCTTATAAATCTTGTTATCACCCGCCGTGTTTGCATCTTCAGTAAGCTTGGACCTTTTCTTCTTCAAATTGTCGACTTGGTCAACATTCTCTTTTATTTTTGCTACATTTTGTCTCAACATTTGCCTCATTGCTTTGACTATGGTTGTCGCTTATATTTTCTTCGAGTTCCATCCTTTCAATATCAATTTCTTCATCGACGAAACATCGAAAACTTCGTCGACGTCTCCTTTCGGAAAATTGTTGGGCTTTTTCTTTTGTCGTCTCCATACATTTTTAGGTGGAATTTGTTCAGGTTATGAGACATGATTGTCGTCGTCTTCGCGGTTTTCACCGTGGTGTGGATTTTTGGAACCATCCATTTTCGCCTTTTACCAACCAAATTGGTGCTTCTTCTGCACAAGCCTCTGATTGACAATAGATATCCCTCCCTATATGTTAAGTTACAGATTTTCACGCTTCGGATGCTGACATGGCGAAAATCTATGATTCGTAATGTTGTTATATATTATTTTTGCTCTGGAGTTAGGCTTGGTATTAGACATAAATAACTTTTATTTCAAACTTGGTAAGTGTATATTTAATTTTGTTTTTTTTTTCTCTTAGTACACATTTTCTTCTTAATTTAGGCAAGTAGCAATCATACCATATTATAATTTTCTCTCATATTTCTCTCATAAATTACTTTTTTCACTGTCTATACTTTTTTTTTCTTAGTCCATCAAAAATTTTAATTAAAAAATTTATTTTAACAATAACTTTTATCATATATTTTTTAACTCAACACCTGTGTAGTACACGGTATTGTACTAGTATGATTTCAAAGACAAGAATTGGGTCTAACTCGTGCTTCTTCTTCGACACCACGAGAAGGGCTTTCGCCGACTTTTTTTTTTCGTTATTTGTAGACATTTTTTTCTAAGGATCTCACCCTTTCCGTCGAGAGAACTTTAGTTGCAGAGAAAAAGTAAAAAGATAATGAAGAAGATGTAAATGTGTTTGGATAAGAATCCCATTAAATCAGCATATTATCCAACACATTTCAACATACATCATCAAAATAATAATTTTAGTTTGAATCGTATATAAAAACACATACAAAGTAATTATATATTAATTTTGCTAATAAAAATCAATGTTATATATTTCTGCAAATAGTGTCAAATGGATAAGTTCGAGGGGTATTTTTTTCTTGATCTTTTATTATTACTTAGGTGGTCAAGGTGGTTCCGTAGTTTCAACTTTTATTTATGTAATTATTAATTATTTTCTTTTTAGATAAATCACAAAATGGCCCAATTTCAACTAGTGTTACGCGAAAGCCCAATAACTCGTTGACGCCCAGGTTCGCACGCAACGCACAGCGGCGCAGTCATTCCATTTCGGGTCGGGTCATTTGAAACCGAACACCACGTGGACCAATGAGAAAGCAGAAAGGGATCGTATCACAACCCGAGCTCTCGACCACGAGTTGTGATGCCCACCTCCCACGGCCGCCTCTATATTGATCTACTTGCCACATGGCGGTCCCTCCATGACTCAAATTACTTAAATAGTGTAAATGAATATAAAATATTATTCCCCCAAACAACACCCAAGAATTTTTTTTTCCTGTCCCAAAAGCTCATTTACAAAAAATAAATAAATAAATAAATAAAAATAATAATATTTCTCTCTCTAGAAGCTCCTACACTCAGGACTCCGACGGATCAGAACTCGGGTTCTTAGCTGATTTAGAGTCGCCTAATTTTGTTTTTGGACAATTTCTGAGGTTTTCTATCCGAGCAAGATTTTTCCGGTGAGTTTTCCGGCGAGCTCAGGCTAGCGGAGTAGTAACTGTGTGCTTGAGCTGTTCCTTCTTTTGTTTAGATGGTTTGATTTGTTTCCAGATCAAAGATTTCTTTTGGTTTTCTGAAATTGATTTAAAAAGGGCAAATCTTATAGGGTTGAAGTAAATATTACTTCTGCTGCTGTTATTTTATTAAATTGTTATTATTATTTCATGACTTAATTGAATTTCTACTTGTTCTTATTCGTTGAGATCCACTGCCTATAGTTGTAATTGAACTCTTTTTTTTTTTTCATGGCAACTGGAAATTCTCCGGTTCTCTTTGTTTTTTATTTTTTTGATATGCAGGGTAACCTGTAAGCTTGTAAATCTTTGTTTATTGTGGCTTTTCNGAAAATTCTCTGGTTCTCTTTGTTTTTTATTTTTTTGATATGTAGGTGTAACCTGTAAAGCTTGTAAATCTTTGTTTATTGTGGCTTTTCTATTTCTTGAGCTTGTTCTAAATTCATTTCACTATAGTTTATCATTCTTGTGATTTGATATGTTCTCGTTGGTTGCTGTTTATTTGTTGGAACCGGACATATGTGATAATGTCAGAGAAGACAGATTTATTAAATGGTCTTGAAAGTCAACTTCAGTTCTTCTTTGGGGTTTTACTCAGTTGTCTTCTAATACTATTTTTTTTTCATTTGCTTGTACTTTTGGTGAATTTTATGATCGGAGGTCAAGGAAGGGTTTCTATATGAACATGAAGAACACTTCACACAGTTTGAGTGCTGGCTGAATACGTGAAGGAATGTCTGACCTGTGCTTGTATGAGGTAAGTTTCGTTTTTCCAGTTGTCAAGCATGTATGGATGCAGATTTAAAGAAAGAAAAGTAGAAAACTTCTTGTTGAAATATGCACTTGGTGTAATTATTATTGTTGTTTTTATTATTATGTTTTCTTTTTAATTCTTCTGGCTGTTTTGTTACCTGGTTCCAGTTACCTGGTTCCAAACTATACTGAACGGACTAGAAATATTATTTTGTTAAATTTTAAGTTTGGTCACAGACTTTAATGTTCATTAGAGGATCGTCCCTAAATCAACTTTCTCTGATATTTTAGGAACTTTTGAAAGATGTCGGGTGTATAATGGCACCAGAAGTTTTCCGTCACATGTAATGTAATGCTTGCTTGTTATTCTTAGATATATTCTTTTGTGATAGTGTCAAAACAATTAACCTGTAAATGCAACCTTTCTGTTTTTGCCTGTTACTGTTTGAATTTTTGGTATTGTCTTACTCATTTTGTGGAAGTATCCTATGCAGTTATTACAGCTAAAATTCCATAACTGCTATTACAGTTAGAAGACTTAGTTTGGGATGACTTTTGCCAGAGTGATGATCATATAATTCCTCATCCTGGTTCTGGAAGAACAGCTCATCATTCCATACTAAGTGACAGCCACAACAAACCTTACAGTGAAGTAGCAAGCTTTTCAAATAGTACTAGAGAAAGATCTTTTGTCAGGCATGTTCATATGGGAATAGATCAAGGGGCATTTCCGTCCCTGAATAAAAGAACGTACACGATGCTGGAAAATGATTCATGGTGCAACACGCCAAGTTGCTTATCTCCTTCTTCACCCGAAAGTAACTCTATCAGAGAGTCATCAAGTGTAGCCTCTGATAACACCACATCATCTCGTCATGCCTCGAAAAGCAATAAGACGGACTCGAATAATAATGAAATCTGTACAAATGACACCATTGCAGTTGATAGCAGCTCTTTCGGTGAAGCACTTGGTGACATTACTCACACAGGAAACAATCTCGATTTCTTCCAGAATACGGAGAACAAAGATTCAAGTGAACTTTTGTATTACGGTTGGCCTGAAATAGGAAACTTTGAAGATGTTGACAGGATGTTTAGGTAAGTCCTTTTTTCTCTTTTTTTCTTTTTTTTTAATAATTGGGCTTTGCCATTTTTATCATGTTGTTTTTGCTAATAAATTTGCACTTCACTCAGGAGTTGTGATTCGACATTTGGGCTTGGGGCCAGTAAAGAAGACGAATTAGGCTGGTTTGGATCTACAGATAATATAGGAGGATCAGGAGACACAGTAAAGTCAGAGTTTGAGTTTCCATATCCTGAGCCAAATCCAGTGGAATACAGTTCGCAAAATGACTCTTCCAAGAGTGATTTCATCAATGATATTTCCATGGGGGGAGACTGTTCTTGGACTTCCAAGAAATCTGATTCATACACGTCTTTTGTGAATGGATCTGCTATGGCCAACAGCAAAGATAGGTTTATCTTCAAAGAACAGGTTCATTTATATCATGATTTCATGCATTGGTTTACTACATAAGACTTGTTGATCTTTGTAGAAGTAATTTTAGAACTACTTTTTACCACCGATTATCATATCATCCTGGGAGAATGGGTGTCAATAAGATTCACTAATGTAATTTAATCAATTATATTTCCCATGGGTTTCATTTGTAAACTGGAATTTTCTACGTCTTTTTTCACTGTGCTGGCAGATGAGAAAGGCTCTGGTTGTCATTTGGTATGTCATTTCTGTGTCAACAGTATGAACACTTATAATTTGTATTTGTTATTCTTGACAGATCACCAATGACAAAAATCAGGTTAAGCTACAGGTCCAGTCCACCGGTAAAAGAAAAGAGCACTGTTTTGGAAATGGCAGTTTCAATTATACGATTGACCTTCACAATGAACCACTGCAGCTCCCTCTATCTTACATGCACTCAAACAACAGTCCTGATCTGACCTCGGTAAATATGAATCCACCTGCTGTCAAATCCGAGATTCACGGCTTGAAATCCCCTTCACTGAGAGATCCCTCTCATGCATCCATCCAATTGCAGAATGACCCTAAATTTCCTGTGGCTGGAAAAAGAGAGAAGCTACAGAATGATCCTGGAGTTGTAAACCTTGGAATTCCAGCAGAGATGGGCCCCTCACTTATACAAGAGTGCTCGACAATGAGTTCCGGCGTGGATGATGTTTCACCGGAAGCTGCTAGTTTTCGACAGCTTCAGCTTGTTATGGAACAGGTAAACTTCTGCTGGACATTTCGGAAATATTCTCCTATTAGCTTATGTAATTATTGAACATCGAGTGCTGCCACATTGTGTATGCTGGCTGGCTCCATCAGAATTATTGCAAGGTGTTTCATGCATGAAGACATATTATATCAAGTTCAGTTCTATCCTTTAGAATTGTAAAATTGAAGTTGTACTTTTAATTCTAATAGTTAATTTATAGTTATATGACTAGTCTTGTGGCATATTTATTTACTCTGCATATGTGGGAAATATAGAAACATGCTATTTGTGCTTAACCCCCTATTGCTGCCTAGTGTTCAAGTTGTGACTTTCGACGTATGCCTATGCTTTGCTAATTTTGAAGTATTCATGATAGTGTATTTTGTTAGTTTTATGGTTTCAAAATTATGTTGAATGGTTCTTTGCATCAAAGTGTAATTTCATGAACACAAGACCCGCATGATCATGGACAATTGAACTTAGAATGTCAGTTGTGATAGTTCGTTTGATAGGCTATGATGTTAACTTCAGTATCGGCCGTGTTACTCATTGAGCCTTTTTCATGTTGCCTGAGTTTAAGGATTTTTTTATCTTGTTAGAGATTTAATTATGTTGTAATTGGGGTTTTCGTTCTCGTACTAGTTGGACTTGAGAACAAAGATATGTATAAGGGACAGTTTGTACCGTCTGGCCCAAAGTGCTGAACAGAGGCATAACCATGCAAACTTGAACGGCAGTTGTGCAGTCGAAATAGATGCAGGTGGAGCATTCTTGGCTGCAGGGACAAACGAGTATGAGTTCTCTTTCTTCCTGATATTTCACTGTAATGATTTTATGGAAACAATTTTTGGAGAAATATTCTTTATTGTCATGAGGAGCTTGCTGTCATACATGCATTAGACTGGAACAAGCAATCATTATTATTCTGAAATAAAGGAATTGTTCGACTAAATTGTGCAGAACTATAAGCAGACGCCCGACACTTAAAAAAAAATCATGGAATATTGTTTTTGTTTTTTATCTAAAGTTAACACAATCTTTTATCTTCTCTTTTGTCTAAAAGTTGAATCATTGCATAATCTGGAGAAAATTGATGCTTTTCCAGCTGGAGTTCTGCTTTTATCAAACAGACAAAACCTAACTGATGACTTTTGTTTTGGGTGCAACAGTTTCATGAGTATAGAAACAGATACGAATCCTATAGACCGTTCGATAGCCCATTTATTGTTTCACAGGCCTTCAGATCCTTCCAACACAGTAAGAGCTTATGATGCAAAAACATCTTTTCGCATTCCCTCTTTGCCTGTATTCATCGATAGAATTACACTTTTTTTTGTTTCATGAGCAGGTTCATGGATCGATCACGAGCCCACCTTTAACAGTCGAGAATTTGATCACTTGTGAAGAGAATGCATCCAAAATAGAGAAAACCACCAACTGCAAACTGCAGAAATCTCGAGAGGAAGTGTCATAAGCATGAATGTCAATGTATTTAAATTTAAAGCTGCTTTTTTTGGCCATGTAGAATTTGTTCAACGGGTTGTTTAATTGTTCAGATGTACTCTGTTTTTTATTCTCTTTTGTATACCTCCATCATCCATGGATGATGTTTGATGTACTTTCCCAACGATGGACGTGTTAGTGAAAGAGCCATGCATAGTCGTAGAGTCTTGAAACGCTTCGGACTTAAAATAAAGTGATATAAATGATGTTTTAATTCTCTGACACTGTCTAAAATTGACGCACTTTGAAATAATGATGTGCCATGCATGTCTAAAGTGATATAATGCTGTGCATCTAAGCTACAAAAATCGTCTGTCTTAAAAAAATGCAACAGATACTGCAAATCCGTTTTATTGAAACTTTTGCCGAAAAAAAAAAAATTCAAACCTTTTGCAGGCAGAAAATAAAAATCAAATCAAGGGTTCTTGTTTCATTTCATTTCCTAATTCTCCACTCGAATGAGATATAAAATTAGAAAAAGGAAATAAACTAAGTCGTGAATCATTTTTTCTTCGTAGTCAAATCCTCCATTTCCATTTTCTCCTTTGCTGTCCATTAGCGTCGAACCAGTATTTATCATATCGGACGACGGCAGAATTTCTAAATTGGGAAATTCGTAGCAGACATAATATACATTATGGATGTGCTAGGTTTTTTATTTTTTTATGTAAAATCATGGATAAAGTGTACAATAAGCTTCGAAATCATGGATAAAGTCAAATCCTAAAACAAATGAGGATTTCTCATAAGAAATCTATTTGAATAAACCAGAACTTTGGGATTAATACATGACTAATAATAGATGGAGTAACCGTGTGATTTTGTCCAGATAATTACTCTAAAAATCTTCATCACGTTCATTTTATCTATTATTTTCATTTGGATTGTTGCATTGCGTTGATTCATTAAAATGTATGTTGACATCATAATTTGTTTATCGACTTTATTTCTTTCCAGATTGTAGCTCATACTATGTGTTTTCCATCCTTCACATAGCTATTAATCAAGCCATGCTAGATTTGTAAATTAGAGCTTGATCGAGTGAAACTTGGGCCGAACATCATGTGGTTTCATTTAGGTATTTCTTGGATGTTAGATTTTAGGGACTCTAGGGTGCTGATATTTAGTTAATAAGAATAAATTTAGGTTAAAGGTAAAAATGTGGTCTAGACATTGGCATCAACCATATTAGTTTGGAGTGTAAAAGCAGAAGGTTCTGTTATTTAGATTATGGAAAAATATGTGTTTGGCTTAAATGATGAGCAGTATGATTGTGGTCAGGTGTAGTTTAATCACTAGGTAGAAAAATTGAAAATGTTATTCCAGTTAAATATGATGAAAGTTGATAAATGTTTTATGCAAAAGAGCAACAATTTTCAATGTTGATCTACTCATTACCTAAATTGTTACGGAAATTTGATGGGACTATGAGATTCGTAAAGCTTACAATTTTAAAGTGAATTCTTTTGTTAATTTGAGTCCTACTCGGTAATATAAAATGTTCTTCAAAGTTGCATATATTTCTTCTGTGGATTGGATATCATATTAATTGGCTTCTTAACATGCAGGATTATAATGGAGAAAATTGGTTGACATGACATTGTTCGAAAAATTCTCTCTCATGGGAGTGACCCATTCTCCTGGTAGGAGAATTTCATCATTCTTGTGGACTTGGATCCCGTTTGTATTCTCTTGTTGAGAGTAGATCTGTATCTCTTTCTTCATCTTCTTGTCACAGTGGATCTCTCTAAGCCGATACCAAGATGCACTTCTATGAAGCTGATGGATCAACAAGTCTTGGTGACATTTCAATATGAAAGGTTAGTCAACTTATGCTTTTATTGGGGGAAACTAGGACATCTTGATCGCTCTTGTGTCAAGAGACTAGCTGATATTGATCAAGGATGCTTAAAAGAAGGACAGTACGGCGATTGGCTCAGAGCTATTGAGAGTGGTGGCATCCTTCGTAATTCTCAAAGAGCTAGTTTCAACAGTACTCCTCCTAGATCAGATAACAATGATCCAATGCGAGGCACAAATGGTAATCAGGGGTCATCTAGCAAGGATAACTTCACTAGCATGATTGGAAAGCAGGTTTCTCCAATGAAGAACTCACCAGTCAATGTGCCGGGAGATCTCAATCCTTATCACCCTATTGAAAAAGGAATGACTAGTCATGGTATTCACAGTGATAGCTTGTCTAAGCAATTAATCCCAGCAGAGGAAGCTCAAGCAAAGGACAGTGACAGTTTACAAATCATTTGTTCTGAGATACATGTTACAACTGACCTTGCCATGGCTGAAATTATGCCAGAAGAGCTACTAGTGACTCAAGCTCCAGAATCTGTGCCTAAAGCCACATCAACCAAGTTAAGAGGATGGAAGAGAGTCAAAGATCAAGAAGGCAGACTCACAAAATTTCAGCCTGAGTTAATTGAAGAAAGCACTAAAGGACATCTGAAGAGGGGTAGACTCCTTATCCAGTCAAACACAGAAGGTCAAGAAATTGAAAACCAACTGACAAGAAACAGGAAAAAGTCCAAGATAGTCGTGAATAAGGTGGAGGAAGCCAGCCTCAAATGGCCCCAAGTGGATCAATGAAGATGATGATGTGGAACTCTAGAGGGTTAGGTGGGCCCCTCACAGTTTCTCAATTGAAGGATTCTATCAGAATCCACCATCCCAGCTTCATATTTCTCTCGGAATCGAAAAAACAAAAAGAGTTTGTGCAGACTGTTTGTTCTAAATTAGGGTATAAGGATAGATGGGTTTCAATTAATCCCATGGGTATAAGTGGAGGGTTGGTTCTTATGTGGGATAATAAGCAAAGTTTCATATTATATATAGAGTAGTTTGTCATATAAATATACATAAAAGTAACAAAATTAAATATTTTGTATATAAAATTTGTACATTGAAGTGTTAATAATATGTATCTCATGATAAATATTTATAATAAAAATATATATACATAGTTTAATTTTTTAAAAACAAAAAATAATTTAAAAAATAAAAAAATAGAGATATATATATGGGCCGGGTCAAACTGGTCGGATCAATTCCCCGGGTCGACTGGGTTTTGACCGGGTCCTTTGTTGCTCGGTTCAAATAGCTCACCCGGACCGGTTCTTGCTCTGGATCGATCGGATCCCGGATCGACCCGTCGGGTTGATCCGACTTGAAAAACTATGAGAAGATTAGTGTTTAGTTAAATTTAAATTGTGATTCAAACTTTCTAGTTAAGATTGAGGGAAATACTATGGTCCCGTTACGGAACCATCCCTTTAGGAGTTTTAACTGTTGGATCATCTATCTTATCCCCTCTATATATAATTTCAGAACGCGCTGAGCCTACGTGGTAAACTCTCATGCTTCGGAATCCTATTTGGCAAAAAATCATGCTTTGGAGTTAGTCTTGAATATAAATTAATATTTGTATTAATTGTATTTTAATATCATTTCTTATTATAACCAATGAATTGTAAATATATTTTAAAAGTTGATAACCTTTGTATTTCTTATCGGTTTTACATATATAATATATCAAAATCCTATTTGGCAAAAAATCATGCTTTGGAGTTAGGCTTGGATATAAATTAATATTTGTATTAATTGGATTTTAATATCATTTCCTATTATAACCAATGAATTGTAAATATATTTTAAAAGTTGATAACATTTGTATTTCTTATCGGTTTTATATATATAATATATCAAATTAATTATCTTTTGATGAGCTTCGATTTGAAAATCTATATTGTATATATAAAATAAATAAATTATTTATTAAAATTAATTAGAATTAGAAAATAAAATTATTTATCAATTAATATATTTATGTTTAATGTAGTTATATGTTATAAGGTAGAAAATTTATTATAATATAATACATATAAGTCGCACAAGTAACATGTGTCATACTAAAATATACTCCCTCCTATTTTTAATAAATGTCGTTTTGAAAAGTTGCACAATAATTAATAATATTTTTTTTGCCAATAATAACCCTCATTAATGAGGATAAAGATTGATGTTTTGAGAAAAGATGGAGAGTGAATATGAAAAGACTTAGTGTATCTATTAGTTAGATGAAAGTAATGATGAAAAAATATGTACAAAATAGCCAAAACGACATTTATTTAACAAATGATCAATTAAGTTAGGATGACAAATAATAAAAAATTTTATTATTTGTCACTTTGGCTTAATTGATCATTGATAAAATAAATGTCGTTTTAGATATTTTGTTCATAGTTTTCTATTTTTAACCCTCCATTTAATACACAGTGTCTCTTCATATCTCATCTCCATCGTTTCCCATAACATCTATTAAATAGGGTTAATATTGTCAAGAAAAAAAAAAATCTTAATTAGTGTGTTGCATTTGAATTGATATTATGAAGTCCTTTTGTATTTTACTATTTATCTATCTATATATATATATATATATATAATACAAAACAGTAATATAAATCCTTATAAATAAAATTTAAATTTATTTATCAAACTAAATTAAATTATATCAAATAAAACTATAAATTATATTATAAAATAATAAAAATTGGTATGTATTCTTTTAAAAATTATATTTATTTCAATCTAATTAGTATGTTGTCAATGTAATAAAAATAAATAATTATTTATATAAATTCTAAAATTACATATAAAGTTAAAAAATTGTTAAGCACGACTGATACGACACTTGATGTATTAGAGATCTAATTAAGTAAAAAAATTAATCTATTTTGCTTAATATTAAATTCCCATCACAGGGGCGATCATATTTGCGATCGACTTGGAGTGTGGCTCCGGGAGATCTGGAAGTTAAAGCCTATCAACTATCAAATAGAATGATGGGCTTAAACATATTCTACACTTGCATATGCATATCACCATATTATTTCTATTTATTTAAGATACATATTGCACTTTATTTTTATATGATTTAAGTAAAAAAATTCAACACGGGTTGACATTTTCATTTAATGTACGGGTGTTTAATTATTATGATAATAAAAATATAATTTGACAATTTAATTGAAACTCAAAGTAATGTTTTATATAAAATTAAATTATTTTAGTTTTTAAAAAATAAAAAATTTAATATTTTTTACAAAAGCTTTCTAATTCAACACCTGTATAATACACGGGTATTGGTCTAGTACTAACTATATGTGTATCCAACGGTTAAAACTCCTAAAGGAATGGTTGCGTAATGAGACCATAGCATTTTTCTAAGAGCACCTGCATTGGTGCGTTAATGCACCTCATTTAAATGCCTCAATATCCGTTCAACCACTGCACGCGTTCATTTAATTGTGGGACCAATGTATCCGTTCATTGCTCTTAACGGCTATTTTGAGCCTTTTTATTTTATTTTATTTTTTAATTCTTCTGCGTTTTTTATTATTATTTTTTTATTTATATTTTTTATCCTCATTTTTTTTTCCCTATAAATACACTTCATACTTACACTTCTCCTACACAAAAAATTTAACACTTCTCTACAAAAAAAATTAGATTATTTTGGTCTTGTAGTGTTCTTTTATTTTCATGCATTTAAAATTTATTATTATAATTTAAAAATATTAAATTTTAATTTTTATTGAGAATAAAATATTAAAATTTATATTGAATGAGTGGATATAATGGGTCCCATATTTGTATTTAAATGAATGTGTAGGAATGTGAGTGTGTGTTTAAATGGAGAGAGAATTAGTAGAAAGGTGATGTGAAGATGATGTGGAAGAGAGAGAGTGTAATTTTTTTATTGAATGAATGTTAAAAAAATTAACCAATGCGAATGCCCTAAGATTTATATCCAAACACACCCTAAAGCTAAAAGTCTTGTATCCAAGCACCGTCAAATGGATGCGGCCCGATCGACGGTAGAAGATAGTAGCGGTCTACTGAACTGATAAGTTTGACCAAAATCTCACCGGGAAAAGGCGGAGACTCCACGATCCACCACCATGGACTTCCACCTCCACGGCAGCTCCCCCTCCTCCGACGACGACCGGAAGCACCCCATCAGCAACACCTCTATCCAGACCCCCAACGGCCACTCATCCGACCCAATGCACTCCTGGTGGGAATCCATCTCCAGAGCTCGCGAGCGCATCCACCTCCTATCCTCCCTGCTTCCTCCGCCCGCCGCTGACGACGAAGACCCGCTGTCGTCACTCGCCGACACCGATCGTCCGGCCAGATCCCTCCTCCTCTCCTCCGCCGTTTACGCGTCCGTCTCCGCCGCCGTCTCCTCCCCCTCCTCTGGTTCCAGCGAGGACAACCTTTGCCACTGGCTCTACGACACGTACCTCTCCTCCGACCCTGACCTGCGCCTCGTCGTCCTCTCCTACCTCCCGATCGTCGCAGCCGTCTACCTCCGCCGAATCCACCACCCCGCCTCAGACCAACCGGTCTCCCTCTCCGGATTCGAGGCCGTACTTCTCGCCGTATACTCAGCCGAGACCAAGGCCCGCAACGGGAAGCCCGTCACGATTAGCATCCCAGATCTCTCCCAACCCTCTCTTTATCACGCCCCTCGCAATCAGGTTAAGTCTTCAAACCCTAATTCCAACCCGGGCAAGACTCTTGTTGGTGTTTTGTCGCTTCCCCTGGAGCCTCAGATGGCGGTTAAGTCCACCAAGCGGGCATCCATAGTAGGCGTCGTTCTCGATTGCTATTACAAGCAGATCTCTCAGATGCCGAGCTGGTCGAAACTTGACTGCTGTAGATTTGCTGCGGTTTGGGCTGGGGAGGATTGCCCTTGTGCCTTAGATTTCGACCAAAAATTGGAGAGTGTTATCGAGAATGGGGATGGATTTGGGAAAGGAATTTCGTTTGAGGATGATGAGATCGAAAGTGTGGGGGAAAGAGTCAAGGATTTGGTAATCCAGGAACATAATTCAACAAATGGGGGAGAAAAAGATGCACAAATTCCTCTGCCATGGGAATTACTGCAGCCGGTTTTGAGGATTTTGGGACATTGTTTGCTGGGGCCGTTGAATGCTGATGAGGTGAAGGATGCAGCATCCATGGCCGTCCGCCGAATGTATGCTCGAGCTTCACATGATTTGGTTCCTCAAGCTATTTTGGCGACTAGGAGTTTGATCCAGCTAGATAAACGGGCACGTGAATCAGCCAAGGCTGCTGTATTCACAGAGGCTGCTACTCCTTCTGGTTCGAATGCGAACACGCCAAGTAAAGCTAAGAAACCTGAGATCCTTTTGGTTTCCAAGTGAAGATGATGATGGTGAAGACGAAGGTAGCAGAGTACGTCTGATGTTCTTTACTTTCCTTTTACCTTGCATTGTGATAATTTATGCTGCTTTTGTTTTATGTAGATTATTATTAGTATAAATATGGTTTAATGATTTGTATTTATGACTATGGATGTGTTAGATTGAAGAGATAGATGCTTATTGGTGTTGTGTAAGATTATGAATTGATATTCTTTTTTAGTTCTACCTTTTTATTTCTAAATGTTGATTCTTGTGGTGTATTGTTGTTAAATACTGCTGTTTTGGTTGTTTGGTCTTTCAATGTATGAGTGCGGTTTTTGTTACTTACTTGATTGCTACCTTTTNACAATGAGTGAATGTGTAAACTGTCATTCCTTGACTATGATTGAAAATCATTCATGTGGTTCTTTCTCTTATGTCTCCTTTAAATTTAAAGTTCCCTTGAGCCTAAGTTGTTTGTAACAATTTAGGGAAAGGGGAGGAGAGTTAAACATGAAAGCAATTGCATGTTAAGAATAATGAATGTTCTGGTGTTTTAAACCAAGATTGTCCAACTTATTTTACCCATTTTTGGCTTCTCAACCTCTTACTACGTAAAACCTTGGCAGTGATAATTGATAATGCTCTTCTCCCTGTTTACTGCTTGGCTGGAACTTGATTTAGGTTATGATTCTTTTTGGTGAGGTAGAGCAGCCTTGTTTGTTTTGTTGTCTTTGCTTAAAGAATACCCTCCAGTCTCTAGGGAGTTTGGACTAGTTTATTTAAACTTGAATAAATTTTGTTTAAAGTATCATGTATCATCATTAATCAGCTATTATGAATTACTACAGTGCTCAGAAACATAAAGTTATGTTAATACATATTGCTTAATCTAATAAGTTGGAATCCTAGAAATAAAATGAGAATGTTTTACTTTTTCATTCTTTTTTTCTTTATTTTTTTATTTTTTGGTTTTTTACCCTTCTGTGATGGCTAATTGGCTATGTTTCAGCCAAGTGGACAAGTTAATTATTAGGAAACAGTTTAGGTTCCATTTATAGCAACATATTTAGGGGGGTGTATTTAATTAGGATTTTTAAGGACTTTTTAAGACTTTAGAAATCCTGGTGTATTCAATTTAGATTTGTTAAGACTTTTTAAAACTTTTAAAAATCCTGGGGTATTCAATTGGGATTTTCAAAAGTCTTACAAAATCCTGAGGTATTTAATTTTTTTGACACTAGGATTTATTAAGACTTTTTAAGATTTTGTTGGATTTCTAAACAAAAAACCTTATATGAAATCCCACTTCAAATCCTACCTCCGGACTTGAAATTTCATAGAATTCTTCCAAAATCTGAAAATCCTAGAAAGTCTCAAATCTCGGAGGAAACATATAAGATCTTAGAAGTGAAATTATTATATAGCTCTGTTCTCCAATCTTCAGATACTTGATTATCAATGTTGCAGAATCACATGCCGATTATCCATACTCTTCTTTTATTTATCTGTAGCAATAAAATTGTGGATGCCTTGTGTAAAATATTTGTACGTTCATGTATGCCACAAGATTCTTGGGATGGAGCTTGATTTGAGTTACCAGATTAATGTAATGTTCACGTTAAATGTGAAACGGGTTGTTGCCTGTGCAAGAGGACATGGTATTTTGGTTTGTTGCAAGCTACCTCTCAAGAGGCGATAAGGCTAACAGGTAACTGTGGCGTTGTCTTGTTGATTGATGGAAGTTGGCACAAAGCAATTGATTCACCATAATATGGCCAAAGCCATTTGGGTTCGAACTCGAGTTCAAGTTGCCCTATTTCTTGACTTTCCAATTATATTCGATCACCCTGCAAGTGCAATTTTTGAGTTCTCGTGGGAAAATATTGACAAATTTCTTAGGCAGAAGTTTGTAAATTTCCAGTAGCACCTCAGAATCACCTTCATTCCCTCTGTTTTTTGCAAGTGTGCAAGGGCTTATGCTAGGATGTTTTATTAGACTCTAATTCCATGAGAAAATACCAAATTATGTTCCCTTTCTTTTTATTCTATTTTTGTAGCTTTTTTGTTCTTCACTTTCTCTTGTCTTTCTAATTTTTACTTTTTAGTTTTTCACTTTCATTTTCTACAGCTTTTATTTTCTTTCCTTTTTCCCATTTCTTGTGTTTTTCAGTTTTTCTAGGGTTATTGGCTTTCTTACCACCTACCCAATTTTAGGATCTTTAAATCAAATTTTTAGGTAAAATATGTTGAAATCCAGTGGGGCACAACTAAAATGCCATCATACCCATGGTTTTGTGGGTTTATCAAAATTCAAAACCTTCAGTCCCAAACCAGTGGGTTCAAAGGTAACTGAAACTGAAAATAGAAAAGGCAGATTTTTTATGGACCTCTGTGCTGGTGGGGGATAACCAAGGGGATAATGTTAGATCCTCTCGCGTGACCTACTAATAACATTCAGCTGACAATTTTACCCTTGACTAGACTAGTTATTTTCATGATTAGTCATAAAAGAAGTTGTGTTATATTGGTATCTAAATTTATGTATTTAATTGATCTTGGTATTCAAATTTCGGCCCACCTTGAAATTTTCTGCTATAAACTAGCAGAGAAAATAAGAATTTTAATTAGATATTGAAATATTATAATAATATTAATTAAAATAAGTAAAAGTTATCTTCTTCTCCAATCTTCTCGCTGCCTATCGATGCAGCCAACTGCCTGCCAATTATAGATTTTACTAAATTATTAGTATATCATTTCAAAGTTATCAACTAGATCTTTTTTATGAAATGTTTGATTTTCTGTCATATGATAACTCAAACTTTATTAAATTATTGTTAAAGTTTAAAACAACGTACCATAAAATTTACCATAATTACACTAGAGACCTGTTCGTTAAATTTTTATGGAACATAATTACACAGACAAATAGACAGTTCTTTCTTTGAGAAATCTAAAGATAATTTATTAACCTATTTTAACAATAATTTAATAATTACAGGTTTGAATTAATGTTTATTTATTAATGTTATTAACCTATTTTAATCAGAGATTTCCAGATTGAATTAATGTTTATTTATTAATAATTACGCTTGAATTAATGTTTTTTAATCGAATCGACAGTTCTTTGGCATCCAACTCATTCCAACAATCGAACTTGTCAAGTAACCTATTTTAAGTCTATTTCTATTCTACAATCCATGTTGAAATATATATTTTCATTTTTTCATGAATTCACAAAAAATATTGCTTATGTAGAGTGAAGCCCTAGTGATATGTGAAGCCAAGTTATTTTGTTTACAATTAATTCATATCCTTCATTAAGAAATGGAGAAATATAATAATTATGTCAGATACTACACGTCCAATAATCCACATAATGTGGTTCATCTATTTTATTTTGTAATGATGTTCCTCTAAAAAAGCTGCGTAATATTTTTTTTTATGTTTAATTAAATGGATAAATAATTGCTATTCATTAGGTTTTGACTTGGCGTCCATATTTTTCAAACAATGCTTCGCCTTTCACCAACTTCATAAATTATACTGATGACTCGTTTTTATTTTTCTTCCTCTTAAATTATTACCACTACTTACCGTGGGCTGAATCGTAAATAAAAAACTTATTTGATAGTTTAAGAATACGTCTGGATAGGATATTGTGCACTTATTTTGTTGACTTTTATGCACAAGTTTTCTCTTATATATAAGTTATAAAAACTGAGCTAATTATACCACCTACCTATTTCTTTATATGATACTCCCTCTTATTTTTATTATTTGTTATTCTGGCTTAATTGATCACTAGTACGTAACCCGTGCGATGCACGGGACATAGATTTTAAATGAGTTATTTTTACACTCTTGTCCGTCTAAAACATAATAGTGTTATTATCTATTTTCTACCTTTTTAATCAATGTGAAGTCTAAAAAACAACAGGCTTATTATAAGTTTTTTTTTCACATAGCGTTGTTTTTTTAGCCAGAACATTAAATATGAGCATGTTAGGGGTAGCTTGTAAACTAATTAATATATTATCTCACTAAAACATTTATACTAATAAAAATTTAATTTTAGCATATAAATTTATCCTTTGATATAAGAGAAAGTAACAATTTTAATTATTATCTTATTATATAATAAAAAGGGATACTGTTAAATAGTGTAGTAGAATTGTTATAAAATTATATGAATTATTTTTTTACAATATGAATTTAGTATCTTTTTATGATTTGATAATATAACTATAATATATTCTTCATGATACAGTCTGAAATCGGATTATAGAATTTCAATACATAAATAATAAAATTTTTGGTAAAAAGATAAGAAGGAAATTTTAATTTCAATCTACAAAAAGTTTAAAACGATTTTATGGGATTTTGTTCACTAAACGGATTGTAAGAGATAAAATAAAACAAATAAAAGATAAGAAGGAAACTTCAAATATACAAAAAATTAAAGCCGATTTTGTGGGATTTTTTCGCAGGAAAACCGATTGTATGAGAATAGTAATAACATTAATTGAATCGTATAGCATTAATTTCAATATAAAAATACATGTTGAAAATAGTAAAGCATTAATTGCAGTTGACTTTTTTGGATACTATTTGTAGTAAATAGAATCCCTTTTTATATAAGTATAGATTTGTTAAGTAAATGTCGTTTTGGCTATTTTGTACAATTTTTTCCATTATTACCCTCATCTAACTAATAAATACACTACGTCTTTTCATATTCACTCTCTATCTTTTCTCAAAACATCCATATCTATACTCATTAATGGGGTTATTATTGACAAAAAAATTATTCTTAATTATTGTGCAATTTTTCAAAACGGCATTTATTATAAATAAGATGGAGTAATTGATATCTCTAACAACGTGGATTTGCTCCAACACGAATATTTGTTTTACTGATTATCTGAATTAACGGAAGTATTTTACTTTTTGAATAAAAAAATATTATTATGGCAAACTCTAACAATAATGTAAGACAAGTAATTCAACTGTTCTGA